CCCCAAAACCCCAAAACCCCAAAACCCCTTTTAAGTTTTTAACATTTGAATTAAACTAAATTCTTAACATGGCTACTATGAAATTCCAGCCTATCCCACTCCAAGATACGGTAATATTTCTTCCTAAAATTAAGCTAAATCTTAAAATTTAGGCCTTCTGTGTGGAAGAGAATGATCCTGAAGAGCAGAGGATACAGAGGTTGAGAGAGATGAAGGAGAGGGAGAGCAGAGGAGTGGGGATAGGGAAGGGGGAGAAGAGGGCAGAGGAGGGGAAGAAGGTGTATGGAAGGTACTTTTGAGGGGGTTGGAGTGCTAGAAGGGGTTAGTATTGAGTTTTAGAGGTGTTAAGGTGGTATTTTGGCATTAAAATGATGTTTTGTAGACAGGGAGTTGTGTATTATGGGAAAAGCAAGAATATTAATGTAAAGAAGGTAGTTTTGATCTTGAAATTATTGTAGAAGAAGTTTAAAGTTGATGGGAATAAGCTTCCTCAAAGATTGCAGGGTGTCAAATTCAGTATTTCTGAATCAAGGACGGCTGATATCGACACAAAAGAATCATTCTACAAGTCAAATAGTTCTCAATACTCTTTGAAGGGGAACAAGAGCAAGGTATCAGTTAAAAGTCTTAAGGATAACATATCTGAGATGGGCTCTTCTCAGGAGAACTTTCAAAGGAAGGCAATGCCAAGAATGTTTGAGCATCAAATCGAATTTCAGACTGGATCACATCCAAATCATTCTCTTATTCCAAAGAAAGGGGTAACTCTGAGAACAGGAAATGGAACTGGAGAGAGGTCTTACTCTCCTCCCCTTGGAATGACAAATACATTCAGCATTGGTCCAGGAGGAGTTAAAAGAATGTCAAGAGCTCAATATGCAGCAACTATAGCTGTAAGGATCCTCCTTAAATTATAGAAAGAAGGGCTTAGATTCAAAGATAGGCTCAAATCAGCTAATAATTACTCTAAATACAGAAATGCAAGGATAAGTGGGGCTCCACAACAAGATTATGGAAACCATCTAAAAGTTCCACTTGCGAAAGTGTATATGAATTCTAATACCAAAAGTGTGAAATATCATCAAGCTAAGACAGGCCAGAGAAACTCTGGTAGAAATATAACCCGTTCAGTATGCTATATCTCATCATTTAGCGTACTATGAATGGAAGAGTGAGGCAAAAGAGGATCATCCATAAACTAGGAGAAGCTGTAAATAGCAACCAAGTCATTGTTCACAATAAATATGATGTTTCAAAACTGTTATTAGCTGAAACACCAGTCAAGCCCTCTTCTAAGGTAATCTTAAAAGTGACAAATTAGCTGCAACAGCCAAGTCAGTACAGTCATACATTCTCAAGAGAGAAGATATCAAGGAGGGCTTCTCAGAAGGCAAATACTAAAGTGATCTCTCATAAGGGTAAGTATCGTGACTCATCCATATAGCTTTATTCTAGGTGTGGGTAAATCTAGAGAGCCAGCTCAGTTAATAATTTCAATATATAAGGGGTTTTGGGGTTTTGGGGTTTTGGGG